GCTTATGCTGTGGCTTACTTCGCTGTGATTATGCTGTGGCTATACTTTGCTGTGCTTATGCTGTGGCTATACTTTGCTGTGCTTATGCTGTGGCTATACTTTGCTGTGCTTATGCTGTGGCTATACTTTGCTGTGCTTATGCTATGGCTATACTTTGCTGTGCTTATGCTATGACTATACTTTGCTGTGCTTATACTATGGCTATACTGTGCTTTGCTTATCCTATGGCTATACTATGCTGTGCTTTGTTGAAGAGCACAAATAGCTCTACGATACTGCATAGGCTGCCGAAAAGTAAGGGAGAAAGACGATGGAAAGCACAGAAGGGGAGCAAAGGGGAAGCATCATATTGAAACTAAGCTACTTAGGACACCTTGGGTGAAAACGGGGGCAGGAAGTATTAACCGAAGAAGGTGGACAGAATGATGTACGGCGATGGTCAAGAGAACCTAAGAAGCTAAGAAATGCTAAAGTGGCCAGAAATAGGCTGACGACCGTGACAACTCCCATGCAAAAGCTCGAAAAGTCGATGGAGCAATCACTCCAGTGAGGAAGCTATTGAAGAGCAGAGCCAGACAGCATCTCCTACGACAACCAAGCAAACCACGCAGCAACGCCAAGCATTCAGCACAAACCGTTACAAATAGCAATAATTTTTTATGGTATCAATGGAAGGCGAACATAGCAAAGATGGTAGAAGAAAAAGAAAAAGAAGAAGAAGAAGAACTCGTAAGTTTGGTCAAGCGACGCCAGCGTGTCGACGTAACCTGAAAGAAGGGGGTTAGTAGACCAATCCCAAAGGCCTTTTCGCCAGTGTCTGCCATACTGGCTCATCAGGGGAGAGATGCCCCTTGGTTAATGTACCAAAATGGGAGAAAGGGAAGTGTCGAGAGAGGAGATAGGCGACAAATATGGGGATCATGAGATCAAGAGGAATGAGGTGGAGGACAGGGGGAGGGTGGAGGGGCAAAAGGAGTTAAACATCCGTTGCTGATGAAGAAGACTGAGCCGCCAACATGGTAACTTCATGAAGAAGAGGAGCCAGTCAGAAAAAAGAAGAGAGAAAGGGCTGTAATCCAGACGCCACCCGTGTGCACAGGAACCAACCACCGAAGGCAATCTTAGGAACTGCCGCTGTCAAGAAGTAATAGCTCGATCACGCACCGGAGAACTTAGATGAGATTCTCTTATAGCGCTATAATTAGCATCATGGCCAACGCAGCGACAATAGGCGCAAAGAACTCAAGGGATGAATGATCGCCCGAAAAGCGTAGCCGCAGCGCTCATATCGAACCCTGGCCGCGCGTTAAGTATGCAAGAAACAGCGCAGATTAGCGAAGGCTAGCAAAGGCGGAGCTGTCACCCTGGAGATGGCTGGCAGTGCCATGGAAGCAGCAGGCGCTAGGCACATGTCCCTTAATCGCGAAAGCACCGTAATCCCCACTCAACCGAAGGTACCAACACGCAGATGCATCGTTTGAATTGAAAAGCGCGGCGGTGGTCGAAGTGTGCGCGCCACTACGCAGAAAGCGATAGAAGAGCAGTCCGCACTTGAGTCGAACCGTCGAGGAGAGAGGAATGATGAATCGATACAGCCGTATAAGTATCGAAAGATCAGGGCCTGTAGAGCCCTAGAATCCGTCGGTGCACGTCAGCAGTTATCCGCCGAAGCCATCCGCCATACAGTGTTTCTGAATTAGGCCCAGATTGGGGCCAGGTTCTAAGTTCTTAAAAAAAAGGTCATACACGTTTCATTATTTGAAAAAAAACTTTTTCTTGGGAAAAGAGACTCAAAGAGTTATAGTATGAACAGAGCCCGGGGGGGTACCAGGATTTGTACGGGGGAGGCATCCATTCGCAAAGGGTGTGAAAAATAGTCATTTGCCTGGATCTTCATGTGAACCCAAAAGTTAAATAGTCTCATCCGATTTATAAATATATATATATT